GGAGGCCCTGGCACAGGAGCCAGGGTTGCGGGTGGATCCCGCTCCCAATCTTCTAACCCACCCTCCCCTTTGGGGGAGGGGGTGTGTGGGGCTGCTGACAGTGGGGCAGTCCTATCCCCTCCCATCCTGCGGCAGGAAATGCAGAGCGTGGTCTTTCTGCCTTCCCCCTGCTACAAGGAGAGGAGGAGATGGGGTGGGGGTGGGGGGCTTTTCTTTAAAGGGAAACGTGCAGCTCGTTAGAGCGCCTGGGATCCACCGTCATTAATGGACTGTGATTTCGTGGGCATGTTGAGCGGAGGAGCAGGGCCCCTCCGTGAGGACACTGTCCCCACACCTAGGCCTGGCTGTGCACCCGGGTTCTCCCAGCCGAGTCAACGGGGGACAGCCCCCTGGTGTGGGGGCAGCTGTACTGGTAGAAAGATGTTTATACTGGGATAGTAATTCCTGCAGAGGAAAGGGAGTCAGCTATACTCAGCTAGCTATGCTGGTCCAAGGCTGCTTTATACTGATTTAACTGCGTCCACACTAGAGGTTGTGCTGGTCTACATCGGGAAGCACAGGAAAGGTTGTCAGCTGCCAGCTCACCAGCAGGAGGAGCGCTGTCTGGCTCGGAGTCATCGTCGGTCCCAATACCAGTCACTAAAAGGCATCCCCACCTGAGGGCTGCCTACGTGCAATGAGTTTGGAGGGCCTCAGCCCGATTCCTAGCAGACAGGTGCCCACCGCACAAAACCATTATCGTGGCAGGCACCGACTGGGCATTGTTACACACACGGGCACAATGTCTGCGGCACATAGCCCTTTCTACTGAGCTCAGCGTGGCAGTATGAGGCCACTTGGGTACAGTAAGAAACCAGAGAGAGGTGGGAACAGACCCAGGGTTTGTCAGAGGAGCTTCTGTGGCCCCCGGCTTCATCACCGTATTATCTGGGCACCTTGGACCCTTTAATTTATCCTCACAATACCTCCGGGAGGCAGGGCAGTACTGTTAGCCCCATTGTCCTGATGGGGAAACTGAGTCACAGAGCGGCTAAGTAACTCACCCAAGGTCACACGGGGAGTCTGTATCAGTGTAGGGAATTGAACCCATGGCTCCTAAATCCTAGGATGGCTCCCTAACCACTGCTCTGAGCCATCTAGTCCAGGATTTTGTCTCTGATGCTGGCCAGCACCAGCTGCTTCAGAGGAAACCTTGCAGGAGGCAGCTATGGAAGAACTTACTTCCTGACCCCTATCAGGGAGACGTCGGCTCAGGCCCTGAAGCAGGAGGGTTTATAGAGCCCTTCCTGTCTAACTCGGCCTCAATTAGAGAAGTAACCTTTCCAAGCTCGATCTGAGGTCTTTCTTCTCCAAGCCATCTTTTCCTGCGGCCAGGCAAGACCAGCTCCGCGAGGAAGGGGCTGAGTGTCTATCGGACCTTGCGACTTAAAATCTGAGCTCAGCCTGTCGGAGCCAGATGGCTTCTTGATTTAAAATCTAAGCAAATCATTTTCTAATTATAGATTCCAGCCAGGGGCGGGCCTGCCACTGGGGGCTCCGGATGGGCCCGGAGTTGTGTGGTGTTTGCACGGCCAGCCAAACGCTCATCGGGGGATTTGGGAGCCCGCCCCCACTCCAGCTTTCTTTCTTTTTTTTTTCTTTTTAGAAAGCTTATGTGATTTATTCTAGTCTCTCGCCCTCCAGCCGGCCAAAGAATATCTCAGCCTATGCAGGAGCATCGCCCTGCCTTACGCAATCCGAGACAGCCTTGCTAGGGAGAGGCAGCCGTCCTGGTGGTGGAAGGAAGGCACTGGGAGACCAAACGTCTGGGTTCTCCCGCATCACCGGATCACTTGTAAAAATATGGATAATGACATCTAGTGTGGCTCAATTGGTTAAGGTTTACAAACCCCATTGAACTCCTAGTGTGAACAGGGCTGATGATTATTCTAAGATTATATATATTATAATGCATGATTCTTTTGCTCTCTTGGAACCCCATGAGTCTGTCTGTCCCACTGCAGCAAACTCATTTTCCCTTGCCTTTGAACCTGGGAGTCTCAGCCCAGCCCCCAACTCTCCCCCTGACCCCACTGCCCCAAAGCCTAGAGCTGGATTTCCACAGCGTGTCACCCTCCACTGGGACTGCTTGGCTAGCCAAGCATTACCACCATTGTGCAGGTGGGGGAAACTGAGGCACAGAGGAGGGACGTGACTTGCTGGGGTGACAGAGCCAGGAATAGAACCCAGGAGTCCTGACTCCACAGATCACCACATGCCCCGCGGGGTCTCTGCTTCGCTGCAGAGCCGGTGCTTTGAATGTTCTGCGCCCAGCTCCTACCAGGCTTCGTGTGACCTGCCACTGTGCCAAGTCCAGCCTGATGCACCGGCGTATATAACAAATCAAGGCCCAGCACAGCTGTGAGGTAGCCTCATAATTGTGTGAGGGGAATGAGGCCAAAACGCAGACTGTCCAGCTGAGCTGCGTGTCTTACCCTCCTGTGCTGGGAGATGGGAGCGGTTCTGCAGTCGCGCTTGACGTTTCCGTCAGAAATCAGGAGCAGAGCGAGGCAAAATGATCCAACTGCGACCTCTTTTCCCGCGAAAAGCTCAGATTTGTCGACGCCAAAACATTCTGTGACTTCGCGTCTGTTTCATCGAATCGTTTCGTCAGGGAAAAGAAGAGCCGTTCTGGAAAAATCCAAACCTTTCGTTCTGAATATTTGTGCAAGGCAACATTCTGGGGTTTTTTCGGTTCAAAGCAGCTTGTCATTCAGCAAATGCCTTTCATTTTATTTTTTAAAAAATGAAGGGAAAAAACCAGGAGAAAATGCTCCGAATCGTAACAAAACTTTTTGTGAAAGCGGCGACGAGTCCTGGGGCCCCTTATAGACTCTCAGACGTATTGGAGCGTGAGCTTTCGTCCAACGAAGTGGGTATTCACTCATGAAAGCTCACGCTCCAGTTCGTCTGTGAGTCTATAAGGGGCCACAGAATCGTCGCCGCTTTCACAGATCCAGACTAACACTGCGACCCCCCCACCCCCGATCCAAAACTTTTTGTGTGACCCAAAGTGAATTTTATTTTCCCCCTGGCTTCTTGATTCGCTGAAAATGTCAAACCAGTTTTGGCTCCGCCTGAAACAAATTTTTAAAAAACTTGTTTGGACTAGCCAGTGAGCCAAAAGCTCCAGGACTTGCCCAGCTTTAACCAGGACTCCGCTACCCCTGGCTGCTGCACGTGCATAGAATGAAACAGCTCCTGCCCCAAAGAGTTTGGCGTCTACATACCAGGTGGTATCTATAGAGCAGCTTGAGCAGTAATTTCAGCTCAGGTAGCTGTACGCCTGCTAGCTTTGATTGAGCTCGCTTGCTAAAAATAGACCCACCCGAGACCCGAGGCACATACTTGGGTGGCCAGCCCGCACTGCCAAGCCCACAGGGCTGACTTTCATAAGCTAGTGCGGACAGAGCAAGCGCACGCTCGTCTGCCCAAGTGCACCTGCAGCTGCCGTGTAGACAGACCCTAAGACAAGAGGCAACGAGCGGCGTCCGACTGAGCGGGGTGGGATGTAACAGCGAGCTCAGGCCCGACGGCACGGACCGAGCAGGCCTGCTTTCTTTCCAGCCAGGACGTGGTGTTCTTAGAAGTCTTGGGCTGACGCGGCACTTTGCTGTCTGCCCATGTGGAGGTGCCATCAGCCGGGGCGGGAGGGAAGCATCCTCGACACAACCTGCTTCCTGTTTTCACACCGCGCTTCCTGCTCCGAGCTCCCAGCTGCCTGGCGGGGAAGGGGCTGGCGTCGCACACGAAAAGCCAGCTAAGAAAAACGCCGGTCATACTGGGGAGATGGGCTTGGCCTTGTACTTTCATCGGCCCCGGCGGCTTTCCCCTCCCGGTTTGGGGATTGTCAGTCTGGCTAGAATGGAAGGATGGGGCTTAAAGACCAGGGGATGCGAGGATTGTGAGAACCTACCTGGTGTGAACGCAATGCATTGGAACAAGGATGGCCCAATGAGCAGGGGACTGCAGCGGGGCTGAGGTTCTGGGATCTGTTTCCGGATCAGCCATGGATTCCCTGGGTGAGATCTTGGACCAGTCACTTAGGGCAGATGTGTCAAGGTTGGTAGGTGTCCAACATCCCATTGCAGCAAGGAGGGAGGGGTCAGTACGTACTCTGGAGGGTCTGGTGTGATGGGGACCATGCGTGCAGGTCGGTTAAATATTCGGCGACGCTCGGATTTGATTTTTACCCTCAGCACAGACACGGGCTGACCACAAAGGTCACATCCAGATCTGAACTCCTGAAAGCTGGAGGAGGGGATGGGTGGCATCGCATGTCAATATGCGCAATCCAATTGATGTTGTAGTTAAAGAGGTTCTAACTAGTGGCCAGCCCCTTTAACTTCAATGGCCTGCTACTGACTCACCATGGGGGGATTTACCCCTTTAACCCAAGTGGTAGAAGCTTGTGCTTTTGGCGCCTTAGCTCTGAGTTCGATCCTTGCTATCGGCCAGGCTGTCCAGGTGGACGTGGTTACAGCTTGTTCTGTTTGGACCGGCAACGTTGGTTTGGGTCCTTCTCTGGCTCGGTTTCAGGCCTGAATAAAACAAGATGTGCCCCCTTTCCAGGGGTGCAGAGCAACCTTGCATGATTCCCAAAGCTTCTGGCAACATCTGCAGGGCTAACACAGAGTGGATAACAACCTACTACTGCTACCAGCTAACAAAGTTTGTCCTTTAGCTCAAGGAGCAGAGCTTTGTGCTTTGGCCTCACTGCAAATCCCATAGTGTGGACAGCCACCTCTGTGACCCTCTTGATGGTTAGCAGCTACGAGATGCTGGCTGCGGCAACAACCTTCATCTGCTTGTAAACAGCAAAGCTGTAGGAGTCGGGCCGTGTGGCCGACTGACCCCATCCATGCTACAGCTTGATCCGCGCTGGCCGCAGCACCGGCCAGCCTTGTGCATCCTTCCTTCCTCGCTGTCAACTCCTCTTTGTTTCTCTCTCCTCCCACCAGGATGAAGCTGCACGCGGTCCTTCTGCTGGGGCTGCAGATGCACCTGGCGACTCCTCTCAACCCCAGCGACCCCAATGTTTGCAGCTATTGGGAAAGGTAAGGAGTGGGGGAGCCAGGGTGGGGAGCCCCGGGGTGAAATGGGTGTGTGGTTCTGGGCCTTCCGCTCTGCCCCCCGAGACCTCTTGGTGGGGGTTCATCGCTGATCCTTGCAATGGAGCCTTTCTTCCTCGCTTGCTTTCTCTGTTGCTTTACCTTGCTCACACTTTTCTTTTCATCTCTATCTCTTTCTCTCGCCCTTTTTCTTCTTCTTATGTATTATTTGTATTGTGGTCGCACTTGGGAGCCCCAGTTGGGGATCAGGACTCCCCCTCCCCCCGGTGCTAGGTGCTGTATAGACACAGAACAAAAAGACTGTCCCTCTTCCAAGGAGCGTAATAGAAGACATGAGACAGAGACAGTCAGATAGGGAGTACAAGGAACCAGTTAACATGTTAACCCCTTTTGCTTGTGATCCCGTCAGCTTTGGTTACAGCTGTGAGGGTGTCTGGCCACCGGACCCTGTTCAGGGCTGGGTCCGTGTCTGTAAAGAACTCTGTAGCGACAATGCATGGTAATATCTGGAACACGGCAGGGTTGGCCTGACTAGCATTTACACTGTCAGTCCCAGAGCTGTGGTTATTAACCTGAGGCTGTCTCTGTATCTACTTGGAAAATAGCCTTTTGCCAGGGCCTGAGCAGCTCCAGGCTGTAATGATCCCTTCGTGCTTCTCGAGGTGCTGGTACCAGTGTTGCCAACCCCCAATCATTAGTCAGGACCCCCCCCCCCAAATCATGAGTGGTGTAAATATCATGAGATTTTTTAAAATAATAATTTGTCTCCTGGTGTCTCAGCCTTTAGGGGTCACAATTTCGAGCTTTGCTCCACAACCATGATGGCTAGAAATAGCCTTAAAAAAATAAATATGGGGGAAACACAGCTTTCATTTTTATTTAATCTCATGACTCCGGGAGCTGGGGCTTGATGAAAAGCACCAGGAGTTGGCAGACCTTGCTTCATTCCAGTCTGTCCCCAGGAAGAGGGCAGGTACCTTGTGCCTCTACTCCAAAGGCACCGGCTGCTGCCATGAGGATGCTGGGAGAGGGACTGGACCCCAGGTGTCCTGCATGGGAGGTGCAGAGCCCCTGTCACTGAGCCACGGCCCTGCCACAATGGGGAGAGTTGAATCAGCCATTTCCCTTGGCTGTCCTTGGGCTGCCACCGAAGTGGCTCTGTTTTTCCCCTGGCAGCTTCACCACGGCGACGAAGGAGTCCTACGCTCACCCCTATGCTCAGGCCTCCAAGGACTCGTGCGATGGAACCTGGAGTTTCCTCAAGCCGTGCACCCAGCACAAGTAAGGAGTTCCCCTCTGCCTAGGGGACGTGGCAAACGTCCTCTGAGCCATCACTCGCTGTCCCCAAGAGTTCTCTGGGAATCCCACAGGCTTACCCCAGCACAGCCCCCCAACAGCAGGGTCCCACAAGCTGACCCCATTCCTAACAAGCAGCAGTGAGCTCCACTGTTTTGACCCTGCTACTAACAAGCAGCAGTGAGTTCCAGAGGTTAAGGTTAGTCTGTTCTGATTTCGGTGAGCTCACCTGGAACCAGTCTGAAGCAGGGAGTCTCACAGGTTAACTCCAATATTATCTTGTTGCTGTTAGCTCTGCTGGTTAGGAACATGTGGCAGTGAGTTCCAAAGGTTATCACCAGTATTGGATACCAATGAACCCCTATTCTATCCTGGTAGCTGGGTAACCCAAACTCTGTCCATATCAGTCAGTGTCATATATAGCACGTGGCAGTAACCCTGACATGACCTCACCGCAGTAAGTTCTCTGGATGAGCCCTAGCACACTCCTGGGGCGGTGAGTTCCCCAGGTGTGGTTTGTTCTCTATAAATGTTCTGCATGTGGGGGGTCACTCTGCTTTTTATTCTGTGTTGCACAGGATTGTGTACAAGACAGCGTACCGGCAGGCAGTGAAAATTGACTACCGGAAGAGGTACCGCTGTTGCCAGGGCTACTACGAGAGCGCAGATGTTTGTGTCCGTAAGTCTGTCCCTGACAGTCACTAATGGGCCCCAGAGGCGGAATGTGTGGCATTTGCGTCCCTCAGTCCAGTGCGAGACGATGCTTCTGCAGAAATCGAAGGGGTCTGGTGGGGTTATTCTGCCTGGTGGCCCGTAGTCAGACCAGGGCGCAGGGCTCCTGGGTTCTATTTCCAGCTCTGCGACTGATTTGCTGTGTGATCCTGGGTGACGTTCCCTGCCCCCCAGCTCTGTGCCTCAGTTTCCCCATCTCTGAAATGGGGGTCATGGTTCATTTTTCTATCTGCTTAGCCCAGTTCTCATAGCCCCCTCGTTCCCCACTGTGTGTCCTGAAACACATCCCAGCTCCTCTGTGCTCTGAGAAATCACACCTTTGTAATGGATTCAAGAGACTCAGAAGCCCCCGGCTCATCCAGCGAGCGTGGCGTCTGCCAGGACCCACCCCAGAGGGGACGCACATTCTTTACAGCTCGTTGCTGTTTGTCCTGTCTTGCACTCTTTGATCCTCCCCCATCCTTCCGGCCCTCTCAGATTTCTCTCCAGGCCGCTGGGGTTTCTAGCCCTTCATGTGCAGGCTTAGTTGCCAGCTCTCCTGCAGACACATGGCTCCAGGCCACCTGGCTACCATGGGACCCTTCTTGGCCACTTTCAGCTGGCTCCGTGCTGGGAAGCCAGCATGCTCTGGGGCTGATTGAGGCCAGGCTGCCTGTCCTCTGGCAACTTTCCCTTGATCCCCGCAGATGGCCCCCCTCATCCCACCCCCTCACCCCAGCAGACTCAGACCAGACCATAAGTTGCTGCTGTGTTTCATCATCTTTGCATCCCTTCCGCCAAGCCGGGGGTGGGGGGGTGATTGACTCTGGGAGGAAGCAGTGGAAGGCTCCTCTGTGGACTGGTCACTGGAGGGGGCGTCCACAGTTTCCTGCAGTGGGTTGCGCTGTGATTCAACTCACTGGTGTGGTCCCCTGCTCCGGGTCAGGGATTAGGGAGACTCGGGTGAGTGATCCCTGGTGCTGAGTGGCTATTAAACAGCTTCTGGGTTGTCTCCCACCCAGGGGGGTTGCATCTCAGTGCCGGGGGAGCAATAGCTGTGCAGTATTGCCGAGCACCCTGCAGGGGGCTGCATTACCTGTGTGATCTCTGGGCAACGTTGCTGAGTGCTGTTTTTCAGCTGCCATATTCCACCCCAGAGGTGGCTGCATTTCATTGCTGGGTGATACCAGTCTGTAGCATTTGGGGGTGAAATGCCAGGTTAGACATTGTTAAAACAAGATCTTGGAGCAGCCCAACTGAATCCTTCTGCCTGGTGCCCTCCCTGCAGCCAGTTGTACCAAGGAGTGCGTCCATGGGAGGTGTGTGGCTCCCGACCAGTGCCAGTGCGAACAGGGATGGAGGGGCACAGACTGCTCCAGCGGTGAGTACTACAGGCCTGGGCCCTCCACGGCGGTCTGGGTTTGGCGCACCGGAGCCATTGCCTTATGGCCGAAGGGGGTGGCTCTGCCCCCAGGAGCCTGGCCGGTGATTTGAGGGTGGGGGAGTTGTCACTTGCAGACACCATTAGCGAGTGTGAGCTGGCCGGCCGGAGCCAGCAGGCGCTGGGGTGACCGCTAGTCGATGTGGGGTTCTGGGGGTGGGCCCTGGCTTTGGACTGACAATGCGGAAAGTGGCAGAGGAGAGCTATGGTGTGAGGGAGAGGGGCAGAGTGGTGGGGGGTGGGTATGGGGTGAGGAATTGGGGTGTTATGGAATGAGGGAGGAGGGGTTATGGGGGAGAGGCTGAAGGGGGAAAGGCTACGGAGGGAGGGGGAGGGGACCAGGGGGTTTTGAGGGGGGAGGTGGTGGGTGGGCTAGGATTTAGGGGATACACACGAGGGGGAAGGCCAGCCATCAGCATGCCATGTGCTGGCGTGAGCCAGGCACTGTAGGTATTTGTGCTAAGGCAGGATCCCGCCTGGCCAGCCCTGGCCCCTCCTCAGCCCCTTGGCATCCTGGTCTGGGCCCAGGGCGTGTGGGGCCTCCGCTCCCCCCTCCACCTGCAGCCAAATTAAACCCAGACTCCAGCTGCTGAGCCGCCCTGTCCTTCCCCAGGGCCCAGGGGCCCGAGGCAATGGGTTCCCACGCACCGGGGGCGGCTCCCGGGAGCTGGGGATCACTGGCTGCATAGGGAATGCTTGGGAGTGGGCCCTAGCCCATGGCCCAGACGGGAGGGGAGGGGGTTGCTCAGGGTACCCTCAGCGAGGGGCATCCAGCTGTGGGCAAAACCCCCACTGAGTCACTGCATCCCTTTCTCTGTCTGCCATGGCTTGCTTTCTTTCCAGCTATTCATGCCACTCTTCCCAAACAGCAGCCCCCGAGCCCCTGCATCAGGGGGAATTGGAGGGGGCGCAGGACCAGGGGCCTTTTGCTAACAGCTGATGCCCAAGAGTTTAGAAAGCACCTAGCTTTTTTGTGGGGGGTGGGAGACTCAACTTGTAATGCCTTTAAAAGCGGCTGGATCTGGGGAAAGGGCCCCGAGCCCTCTGGCGGTCAGGTAGCTTTAAGGGGTCTTGTGTTGGGTGCCCCCCAAAATCGCCAGGGGTCTGAAATGATCCCAAGGGCTTGTCCAGTTAGACTTGGTGGCGGATAATCTTGAAATCTGAAGCATGGGGGTCTCACCCCACCCCTTGGCAAGACTGTTCTGATCCGTCTTCCTTAGGAAGATTTCCCCGGATTCAGAGTAAACCATCCCTGGTTAAATTCCCTCCCCTTAACCCGAGTGACTGCCCTTTGTCTCCTGCTGAATAATGCCACCACTTAAAACAATCAAGCAAATTTTTCCATGTGGCAGCTTCCGGACAAAATAACTAGGAAATGGTTTGAAAGACGCAATAACGATTAAGCCCTCATTAACTGAGCAATATGTTTAATGGAAAGCAGCAGGGTCTAATGGGTGAGAGTGGGCAGGACTGGGAGTCAGGACGCCTGGATTCTGTTCCCAGCTCTGGGAGGGGAGGCTAGTGGTTAGAATAGCAGGGCCTGGGAATCGGGACTCCTGGGTTCTATTCCCAGCTCTGATGGGGGGGTGGGTAGAGTGCTTAGAGCAGGCGACAGGAAGCCAGGACTCCTGAGCTCTATTTCTGGCTCTTGGGATGGCATGTCCCATCTATGTGCCTCAGTTTCCCTCCCTGTAAAATGGGGCTGAAACTCTGACCCTTCTTCCCAGGGCTATTGCAGGGCTTCATTCACCAGGGTCTAGGATGTGCTTAGAGATTGTCTGCAGAAGGGCAAAGGGGTTGTCAATGCTACAACAGTCCCTTCCTTCTTCCAGTGTGTGATGCCCGGTCCTGGGGGCCCCGCTGCGAGAACCCTTGCCAGTGCGGTGATGGGGGAGCTTGTGACCCCCTCACTGGAGCCTGTGTCTGCTCGCCCGGGTACAAGGATCCCGTGTGCAAAGTCCCCTGCGACCCACGCACCTACGGGGAGGGCTGCCAGCTGGATTGCCCCTGCAAGAACGGGGCCAAGTGCCATCGAGAGACCGGGGCATGTCTGTGCCAGCCAGGATTCACAGGCGCCTAGTGAGTGCGGGGAATGGTTGGCTGGCCTGGGCAGTGGGAGGGTGGGAATGGGATCAGGGGGCCTTTCCTCTCTGGGGGGCGCCGGTTCCGACCCAGCCACAGGGTGGGATTTCTTTAGCCTCTGGCGAGAGAGAGAAGACTCTGGGTCCGTCCTCCCTCACCTCTTTCTCCCTGTCCTTCCAGCTGCGAGCTCCTGTGCCTCAATGGCTCGGACGGGCTGCGTTGCCCGGCTCACTGCCCCTGCCAGAACGGGGGCATCTGCCACCCCCCAAACACCACCCGCTGTGTCTGTCCTCCAGGATGGATGGTACGTATTTGGGGGGGGGGGGGATTCAAACCCAGGCCCATCCAGCCTCTGGAGAGCAAAGGATCAGGCTGGGACAAACTGGGGGCAGAGGGGTCCTGCCCCACCTGTGCCCCGGCCCTCACACCCATGGGACCCGGCTGGCCTGGAGTGGGCCTTGAGCTGGCTCTGTGCATCGGCGTGAGGTGGAGCTGCCTCTGGCAAAGTCATGTTGCCGTGGGGTCTCCGGATGATCCGGCCCTGGCGGCATGAGCCTCGCTCTCCATTCAACCTCCTCGGGGCTGCGAGATGCCCCCAGCAGGGCGAGAAATGGGCTGTGAGCCTTTCCCGCTCCCACACGCGCTGCTGACCCGTGGCCGCATTCAGGCGTGGGGTGGTCTGGGGGGCACTGAGCAGGGACCATCCCTTCAATTTGCAGGGGACGGGGGAGATCAGGCTCCATGCTGCGAGCATCCCACCCCGTCCCCTGGCTTTCCCAGAGAGGGCATTTCCCTGACGCTGCTGTTCCGTTGTCTGCAGGGCGCCATCTGCTCCGTCCCGTGCCCCCAAGGGTGGTACGGCTCAGGCTGCCTGGGGGGCTGCCAATGCCACAACAACGGGCTGTGCGACCCAGTCACCGGGCGTTGCCAGTGCGCGCTGGGCTACACCGGAGAATGGTGAGTGGGGTCTGGCAGAGCGACTCCCTGCAGCGGTGGGGTGGGGGCCGTGCCATGGAAAGAACCACGTCCCTGTCAGGGGCTAGCAACTGGCATGGCTTAGAGGGAGATTCCTCAGTCGGTGAAGCCTAGCTAGAAATCTCAGTCACAAGCCGCCCCTCTGTGAATCACACACGTTTTCCGGGTTTGTCTACACAGGGGAGTTAATCTGGATTAAGTTAGGGCAGGAATTTAAAGTGTTATCTGTAGCTATTCTGGAGTAATTCCCTGTGTGGACACTTTTATTCTGGATTAAGAGTAGAGCTGCTTGGCAAACTGATTTTTCATCCTGTAAAAACATGTCAAGGTTGTAACAAAAAAGCACCTGAAACTGGGATAAGAAGCCAACATTTCGACATTTTTTTTTGCGAAACGAAATTCAACACAAACGTTTTGACCATTTTTTTATTTTGTGCATAAAATAATTCATATCAAATAAAGCACCTTTGGAAAGGAAAGGTCATTCCAATATGAAAAATCAAAACTTTCCGTCCCAGAAATGTCAAAATGGGACACTTCAGCGTTTTCAAAATAATTTTTCCAGTTTGTTTTCCAAAATGTTGTTGACATTGACATGATTTGGTGAAAGCAATGGGTTTTGTCAAAGGGGCGTTTTCTGACAAAGCTGCTTAGACGCAAACTTTTCGACCGCCTCGAAGTGAGGCCACGTGTCCACTCAGGGCGCAGAGCGACAGAGCTGCGCTGTTCAGCGCCCAAGTGTAGACACTTCCTGCAGCAATCCCTGTAGCCGGTCCACTTCTCCAAGCGGCGGTAGCTGGGCCATCGGATGAGTCTTCCATTGATCTAGGTGTGTCTACACCCGGAGTGAGGTCAATTTAACTACAGCGGTCGGGGGGGGGTGAATTTTGCACACCCCTGAGCGGTGTAGCTATGTTGACCTAACTTTTAAGTGTAGACCAGGTGTAAGAATGATTTTTCCAGCTGAACTTAATCCGTTTCCAAAGTGGATCAAGCCAACTCAGGCCTGGTCTACATTACGGGGTTAGGTTGAATTTAGCAGCTTTAGGTCGATTTTAAAAGGCACTCTTATTCCGGAACAGAGTGTCCACGCAGGGAGCTATTGCAGAATTTCTTTGTGTAGACAAACCCTCGTGCGCACACCTGCTACGCTTCTTCACATTTTTACTGGTATAATTTACCGAGGGCTGTGCGGGGATTCTCCATCCCGGGTGGCTGTTAAATCTAGATTGGCTGGAGTTCACACTGGAGTTCATTCAGGGCCGTTCTCTGGCTTGTGCTACGCAGGGTGTTGGACTGGACGATCACAGGGGTCCCTTTTGCATAGTCTGAAGTCAATTAGCAAGGTGGATTGTGGGTTTTTTGCCAAAACAGTGCTACCACTGTGGACTTAGTTATACCAGTGTAAAGATGCCTTACCCTAGAATAGCTTATTTTAATTCCCAAACCAGAGGAAGCTTTATCAGTATAAACACCTTCATGCTGATGTAATTGCATCCGTATTGGGAGTGTTGTACCTGGTTAACTGTACTGATCTAGTTAAAGCAGCGAAGTTTTTAAGTGTAGATAAGGCCTCACCCTCACACAGGCTCGGTGCCCGAATTACAGGTGAGCTTGGAGTGGGGCGGGCCCCTCACTACTTTGCTCCTGTCTGAGCCCCGGACTCCTCACTGCGGCCACTTGACATCCACTTCCCTCATAGCTGTGAATGCGTACTCCCCTCTGTCCCTGTCCCGCGCAGCCTCCCTCAGGGGCTTTCAAACACGCAGATGCGCCAATGCCCTGTCCCTCACACCCTTCCATGTCAACCCACCCACGCACTGGCTCCTGGACTCGCACACGCTTGTGTTAACGTGTGTGCACGGGGCGGGGTTACAAGCTGGAGTGCGTGCCATCCTAGCACTTTGCAGTCCACTAAAAGCAGTGTGGACTGACGGATCGAGCACTGGATTGGGACTTAGGAGACCTGGACCCTCCTTCTCAGTTACGCCAGGGCCCCTTTATGCGGCTCTGCCCATGTAAAGGGGCCTTAAAATGCTTGTCACTGAAATTTCCCCCACTTTAAGGCTGTTTTGCGCTGCCAGCGTGGTGTAAAGGGCCTTACTGAGAATGAGGCTTCTGATTTTATCCCCAGCTCTGCCATGTGACTTTGGCATGTCCTCACCCCTCTCTGTGCCTCGGTTTCCCCTCCCACCCTTTGTCCTGTCTATTGAGAAGGAAGCTGTTTGGGACAGGGACTGTCTTTTGCTAAGTGTATATACAGTGCTTACTGCTACCGTAATGCTCATAATGTAATGCACCACATGAATGGCCACTGTTACCGTAATGCCTGCATATAATACTCCAAGCAATATGTTGACTGCCTGGCTGTGCTGATTTTTGGCTGGCTTACGGCACAGGAGGTGCCCTGCCAGCTGGGGGAGCGCCAGTTCAACGCTGGGGTGAGGGATGATCTCCCCAGCTGTGCTGCAGGGAAGTAAATAGCAGCTGGGCCAGGGTGAGGAGGGAAATCAGTCGGAGTTTCCCACATGGAAGGGAGAAGGAAACAAGGGGTTTTTCCAGCTTTTAAGCTGGTGTTCCAAACAATGGAGAGGAAAAAATAAACCCAGAATCAAACAGGAGTGACCAGCACTACATGGATCCCTAGGAAAGGGTTTTGTTGGTGTTTTAACTGAAAGAAGTCTTGTGATCTAGAGGTTAGATTAAGCGAGTGGGAATCCAGGATCCTGGGTTCTTTCCCTAGTACTGGGAGGGGATGTGGTCTATTAGAGCAAGGGGGACTAGGAATCAGAACTTCTGGGTTCTATTCCCTGCTCAGGAAAGGAATGGGGTCTAGTGATCAGAGCCAGGACTCTCCCATAGACTTAATGTGTGACCCTGGGCAAAGCACTTGTGCCTCAGTTTCCCCATTTTTAAAATGATGATCCTTTGGTAAAGGCTTTGAGCCCCTCCGCTGAGCGGCACTTTAGGACAGTCGTGTTGTTATTGCCTAAATAAACAGCCAGGCTTGGCTGGTAGAACCCCATCCCTCCCCTGCTCTGGGCTTGCACTGAAGGTTTCATTCACAGTCTTGGGCCTGGGGATTTTTGCACCAGCGCAAGCCCCTCGTGTGGACACGCAGCCCACGTGTGAGCCAGGGTTTACCCTGGTGCAGCTGGCCCGCACGAGGAGTGTGCGCCGATGCAGCGACCGTGGTGCACCCACCCCTAGTGCAGACATGGCCCCTGTAGGTTAAATCCAGCTGCTGAGCAATGAGACACAACCGGCTAAGATGGCCAGCTGCCGCCTGACAGGCTGTGCAGGGTGTCCTCCCCAGGCGCCCCCAAGAGGCAGGTAGGGGAATAGCTTCCTTGTGCAGCAGGCCCCATGCTGGGAGCGCCCTGCTGAGCAGCTGGTGGGAGGGTCCTCAACATTTCCCAGGGTCTTGCATGGAATGAGTTTGGCGGCCTCAGCCTACAGGGGACACTCGGATTGAGCAGGTGAGAGATACCAGCCTGCACAGGGACAGCGACCCCTGTCTGCTCACCCCAGCACCGGCTGGCTCTCCTCTCCTTGGCGTTGGACTTGCCCTGGGTCTGACCATGGGGGCATGTCCTTCTCTCCCCCCTCCCTCCCGCCCGTTCCCGAACAGGTGCCGGGAGGAGTGCCCCATCGGCAAATACGGCCAGGACTGCGGCCAGCCATGCGACTGTGCCAACGGGGGCCGCTGCTTCCATATCAACGGGGCTTGCCTGTGTGAGGCCGGCTTCCTCGGGACGCGCTGCGAGGAGCGCAAGTGTCTGGACGGCCTTTACGGCTTGGCCTGCCACCTGCCCTGCCTCTGCAGCCCCCAGCACAGCCAAAGGTAGGGGCGGGGAGGGACTCTGCCGGCAGCCACCTGAGCGGGCCCTCGCTCCAGCCGCTCATGCATGCGGGCGCCTGGAACATGCCAGCGCCTTAGGGGTTAATAGTGTACAGGGGAGGGGGAATACGGTCCCTATTTCCAGTCCTGTGGGTTTGCTGCCCTCTGCGGGGCATAAGGGGAATAACATGGCACCATCCTGCCAATGCCCCCCAGTGCTGGAATGCAGGATTCCCATCTGCAGGAGCAGCGGGGCAGGGGAATCACCCCCGGGATCCAGGCTCTGGGGGTGCAAAGGGCCCGGATTCAGAACATGCGTGCTCTACCCAGGAGCCACCGAGTGGGCGCACGCATGGGGTGTCCGGCTTGGGACACCTGCAACCCCTTGACACAGTGGCAATGCAGCTCTCAGGGAAAGGGCCAGCCCTGCAGGATTGGCACAAACCCGCCCCAGCTGCTTCGCGGGGGCGTTCTGATGGGCACGTGTTTCTCTCCCCCCGGGGCCCAGCTGCCACCCCATGAGCGGAGAATGCACCTGCAAACCGGGCTGGGCGGGCCTGCACTGCAACGAGACCTGCCCCCACGGGTACTACGGGGCCAACTGCCAGGAGCCCTGCCTCTGTCTGAACGGAGGGACGTGTGATGGCACCACGGGGCTCTGCCACTGTGCCCCAGGGTACACGGTGAGTCAGGGGCCCAGACTGTGGAGACACCGGGAAACAAGGCGGTTAATGTCTTGGTAATTATGGGGATTGTGAGAGGGCGAGTTGTCTAGTGGTTAGAGCAGAGGACTGGGTGTCAGGACTCCTGCTGGGTTCTATTCCTGACCCTGGGGGGGTGGGGGTTAGTGATTAGAGCAGGGATAACTTTGTGATGCTTAGGCGGTTGTCTTTGAAGTAACACAAAATATTACGGCTACTCGCCTCTGGGTGGGAGATCTGGACGCTGCCCCCCACCCCCTCATTGTCTCCTTGTGTTTGCAGGGGGAGCATTGCTCCAGCTACTGCCCTGCCGACACCTACGGGGTGAACTGCTCCATGCACTGCACCTGCAAGAACGCCTTTGCCTGCTCCCCCATTGATGGCACCTGCGTCTGCAAAGAAGGTAGGGTGCGGGCAGGAGCCCCTGGGATTGCTCACGACGGAAGGCACGGCCCCGGCTCCCCTCCCCCCACCCCCGGGGGGCTCTAGCTGTGCCCCCAGACAGGGCTGGGAGGTGGGAGACCGTTCTCTGCAAGGGCTGTGGGAGCCCTTTTAAGTTCACTCGGGAAAGGCCTTGTGAATATCCCTCTCCGCCCCGGCTCCCTGGCTCTGGATGTGGCCGGGGGCCGGCTGGAACCAGCCCAGGTTACCCCTCCCCTGGCTTAACTCCCGGCACGAACCCTCCGCCAGGCTCGGGGTCTGGCGGGACGACCCAGGCCACTCCTTCCACGGGTGACCTCTTCCAGCGGGTGTGGTCCACACAGCCTGGAGACCCCGCCGGAGCCACGGCACCCAGCCGCGAGGTGGGGCGCCCAGATGTGAGTGGTGCCAGACACCCTCAGGCTGGAGCCATGGCTGAGAGCAGGTTCCTTCCAGGTTCCTTCGCTCTCCTCTAATACCTGGACACATCTGGCTGTGGGACAATATAGCCCCCATAGGGGCTATTGACTGGGCACGGCATTGCCCCCATGCTGCCCTACTTCTCCACCCGTTGAGCTGCCTGCATTTCCCAAGCGCTCCGATTCCAAGTTCCCGTCGATCCGCCTGCCAACCTCTCCGCCCTTCTCCTCCCCTCTGCAGGTTGGCACGGAGGGGATTGTTCCAGCCTCTGCCCCGCCGGCACCTGGGGTCTTGGGTGCAACGAGACCTGCCGGTGCGCCAACGGTGCCTCCTGCAGCCCTGTCAGCGGGCTGTGCTCCTGCGGTGCGGGCTGGCATGGCAGCAGGTGCCAGGAGCCATGCGCGGTATGTTCCCACCCCCTTGGACCAGCCACTTCCCGCTCCCGGGAGCCCTCTGCGCCCTTTATGGCCATCCCAGCTGACATGGAAGGACCTGATCCTACGTCCATTGCTGCCCATTTCCATGATCTTTGCATCAAGCCCTGGGCCACCCCCCAGGTGCTGCCATGCACCCCATGCAGAGCAAGGTCCAGCCAGCGGCTGGCAAGATGGGATGCCGGGTGCTTCTAACGGTGCCCGCTGCCCACTCGGTGCCCGCACGTGAGCCGGGATCTCGGCTGTCTGTGATTGTCCCACTGGACAAAATAATTGCAACAATGGGCTAACAAATTGATTGGGAAAGTCACTTGCTGGCCCAGCCTGGGAAAGGGGCTGGGTGATTTAATGGCGATGGAGAGGGGGCTGGTTTGGGAGTGGGGTTATGGATTAGACCATGTGCTTTTTGTGGAGCAGGGGAGGCTAGGGTTAGACCGTGGGCACCGGCGGGGCGGAGTGGGAATGGGTTAGATTGTGTGCACCAGCAGGGCGGGGGTGGAGGTCAGACCGGGGAGGCTTGTGGTGGGGTTGGACCCATGCCCCAGTGGGATGGGACCAGGAAGGGCTCTGGGTTAAAATCACCCACCCCAATCCCATCCCAGTGCCACTGACTCCGGTTGCATCCCCCTCTCGCTAACAGAACGGTGCCTACGGACCCGGCTGCAGCAGTCTCTGTGACTGCAGCCACGCGGACGGCTGCTCCCCCGTCACGGGACATTGCCACTGCCTGCCGGGATGGACAGGTGAGGGGGCCCGGTGGGAGGCAGGGATCTGGGGAGGGGACGGGAGGACTCTGTCTCTGTCCATGATGGCATCCAGGGAGCCCCTTGGCATCCCTGCCAGCTCAACACACAGCTCTTATGAGCATGGCTAGTTCAGGGAAGGAAGGGGGCGGTACTCTTCCAGGCTCCACCCACAACATAAGCTCCTCCCACAGGACTTGACACGCCTGAAGGAGGCACAGCTCACAGTGAATTGTGCAGAGGTCCAGGATATATCGGTGTGAGGTCCGTTCCCCTTTAGGGGGGCGTGGCTGGACTCAGTGGGGCACCTCCTGGACCGAGGTCGAAATAAAGTGATGGTGCTTGCCCGATCGCCGCCCCCGCAGGGCACCAAAGAGAGCCAGACTGGCTCCTGCTCCGGTCTTAGCAAACTCCCCGGCAAGAACTCCTCCCTGAGGGGAAGGAGGGCGGTTCACACCTCTCCAAGCCGTCCTCCCTGCAGGTTACACTTGGCTCAAGTTCGCAAGGTTTCCTTCGCAGCCAGATGGCAGGGACGCGTGGCCCAGCGGGAATTCCGGCAAGCTTTGGGGGAATAGCAGGACTCGAGCCATGCCAGCTGGTGCCAGCTGACGGGCCGGCCAGTTCAACTTAAGAACCTGCCCTCACTGGCGCGAAGGGTTCGTGTGTGTGTGGACGAGACTCGAGTCGGGGGCTGCGCCGGAGTTATAAGGAGCTAACTGCAGTCTGAGTGATGGGAGCGCAGCTTCAAAGAGGGCAGTTTCTGGGTCAGCGCTGGGCTGGGAGACCGTAGGGCCTGCAGGGAGCTGTGCGGTGACTCACTCGACCGACAGGGAAGCTGTGGACAGTGACACTGGCATCCCTGACCACCTGGGATGCGAGAAGTTTTATTTCTCCACGCAGGTGACTGGGTTGGCACTGGGACCTGTCTGCCCCCCCCCCAGCTGCCTGGTGAGGAGGGGTCCCCACTAAGAGCACCCTGTTCCTTTCCTTGCCACCCCAGGGCCCCACTGCAACCTGGTCTGTGACGACGGCTTCTGGGGGCGGAACTGCAGCCAGCCTTGCGTCTGCAAGAACGGAGCTGCCTGCTCCTCGGAGGATGGGAGCTGCAGCTGCACGCCCGGGTACCGCGGCCCCGCCTGCCAGCGCCGTAAGTGCCGTGCCGACCGAGGATGACGCTTGGAGCCAGCGGGCTGGGGTGTGTGTGTGTGTGTGTGGGGGGGGTCAAGGGGGTCCTGCTCCTGCATTGCCCAGCCCTGGGGGAGCTGTCCTGTCCTGGCAGGGCGAGCGCCTGGCTCCGTCCAGTGCCAGAGCAGAGCAAAGTCCATTGCGCAAACCCCAGGTGGGACCAGCCTGCGAGTTGGCACTGGCATCCTCCTTTCGAGCCTGCCCCCCCACCCACCCCAAGGGCTGGTTCGGGTGCAGTGGGCAGGGTCAGAGGCCATTGCACGGGCATCCCAGGCCCCCAGTGGAGCTGGCCAGGGTTCGGGGAGATGGATACATGTCGGGGGCAAACCCCCAATAAGAAATCCACATGAGAACACACCAGCCCGTGTGTCCCCGTGACCTGTTCCCTCTAGCGGGCAGCAAGGAGTTCTGTCTCCATGGGCCTGTCTGGGTCCTTCTGCTGAGGCTGCGCATCAACGGGGTCGGTCAGCACTGATTGGGTGGCTTTGCCTGGTCCCTGTCAGGATCTGGGCTAAGACCCAGCAAACTCGTTTCACATGAGCAGCCGTCTGACCGGGCCGGGTTAGGGCTGGTACGTGACTCGCCTCCACACCCCTTCCATTTCTTCTTCCCTTGCCGCAGCCTGCCAGCCCGGGCGTTACGGCAAGAAGTGCGCGATGTCCTGCCGTTGCTCCAACCACTCCACCTGCCACCTTGTGGATGGCTCCTGCGACTGCTTCCCCGGGTGGACAGGCAGCGACTGCTCACAGCGTGAGTCACATCCACTGCCGGGGGGCGCCCCAACTCACGGGCAGCACAGGTCAACGGGGAATAAGTTGCGGGTGGGTAGCCACTTGTAGGGGTTATAGGGAATCTGGACACAATAGGCTCACCAGGACTATGATCTGGGGGGCCTGGAGGCTCTGTCAGCCCCCAAAATTTAGGCCTCTGCCATTTGAGCTAACGGAGATCTCGTTCAGCCAGTAGCAGAAGTAGGACTCTTATCCTTTCTTTGGGCAGCCACCAGGGGGCGACGGGATCTCACACACATACACTCAGTAGCTCGTTTGGGGAGAGCAGCTTCCAGAGCCAGGTGCGTAGTGGGACTGACGGACGTCTCCCCTCCTCCACAGCCTGCCCGCCCGGCACGTGGGGAGAGGCCTGCAGCCATACCTGCCAGTGCCCAAACGGAGGCCAGTGCAACACCGTGGATGGGACCTGCTCTTGTCCGGCCGGCTTGACCGGCAGACGCTGCTCAGAAGGTACGGACTGTGCCGGGCGGGGGCCCGGGCATCACACTTCTCCTTTCCCATACAGACCTCACCCGCTTGGTTTCTTCTCTGTAGGCTGCCCCCTGGGGCGCTATGGGGAGAACTGTGCCCAGGCATGCCAGTGCCAGGACGAGGCTCAGTGCGACCCAGTGACCGGGAGATGTCTGTGCCCCTCTGGGTACACCGGCACCCACTGTGAAACCAGTAAGCCGCGGAGCCCGCCCTGGCCGAGCCAGAGGAAAACCCCGGGGAATGCACAGGGCTGTATGACGGCCCCAAGACTGCATTGGGGAGCCACCTGCAGCGCCCACTGCTGGCAGAGGGGAGCATTGCACCCACACAGGACTTCTGGGCGGGTCTTGAGGGAAGTGGATTGACAAGTTTTTTGACACAACCCCCCCAACCCCCCAGCCTTTTGGGTTAAAACAGAAATTTCCCCGGGGAATGTCCGATTCTGGTTAAATTTTCCGGCTTTCGTTGGAAGAACAGAAATCTGGAAAAAAAATTGGGTTTTTGGCAACTGAACCCCCCCTAAAATGTTGGCCAAAACTCCGAATATTTTCCACTTTGTTTCTGACTGTTGACACTCAAAAAACTATAACTTTTGAGCCACAGAGTTTTGGGTTTTAAGGTTTTGGATGAAAACCTGGAAACTTGGAAGAAAAAAATTTTGACCAAAACATTTTGTTTGTCGTTCATCGAAACGTTTTGCTGGAACACCGATTATTTCCCAACCAGCTCTAATATTGGGTTATACGGACCATTGGTCTCCTCCAGCAATCAGGAGGGGGGATGCGGAGCTGTATGGCTCCAAGCCGCTCCCTGGGACTGGCCTGCCCCTTCCTCTTGCCCAGAGCCATCCTGTGTAAATGCCCCTGCCTCCCAGTCCCCTTCCCCCCACGGATTCTAACCTTGGCCCTTGTGCACCCCTGGCAGAGTGTCCCCCCGGCACCTTTGGACCCAGGTGCCTCCAGGTCTGCGAGTGTCTCCACAACTCCACCTGTCACCACGTGACAGGGAGCTGCCAGTGTGAGCCGGGCAGGAGCGGGGCCCAGTGTGAGAAATGTGAGTGAGACCAGGCAGGGGGCTGGGAGCCAGGACGCCTGGGTTCTGTCCCCAGCTCCGGGAGGAGAGCAGGGTCTAGTAGTTAGAGCGGGGGGGGCGGGGCTGGGAGCTAGGACTCCTGGGTTCTGTCCCCAGATCTGGGCAGAAGATCTAATTATTCCTCCGGGCGTGCAGGGAGCCCCGAGCACCCCTTCACCATGGTGCCAGCGGTGCCGATGGGGTACAGCTCCCTGGGGGCGATCATTGGCATCATCGTCCTGGTGATCCTGCTTCTGGCTCTGCTGGCGTTTTTCCTGTGCTACCGGCACTGGCAGAAGGGTAAAGCGAACAGGCACCTGGCCGTGGCCTACACCACGGGGCGGACGGACAGCTCGGAGTACGCGGTGCCAGGTGAGGGCGCGGCGCGCTCAGTAACGGGGGCTCTGCTCTCGCAGTCACCCCCCCTGCTCCCGCTAGCACGGCACCTCCGAGGACACTAAGCTCGGAGTCCCCCAGCCTGCTCTCGGGGAAAGTCTCCCACCTAAGTACCGATCCCAGCCGCCCTGGGCTTCGCGAGGGGAATCCAGCCGGAGCCCGGCACAGGGTGGGGACAGGCACCCGGCGCTGCGCAGCCCCTGGGGACAGCTAGTGGACAGGACTCCCAGAGACTTTGGCCTAACTCTGTCTGTCCCTTTGTGTCTGTCCAGACGTCCCACCCAGCTACACCCATTACTACTCCAATCCAAGCTACCACACCCTGTCGCGGTGCGTGCCGACCTCCCCCGCCCCCAACAGCCAGGACAGGGCGAGCTCCCTCAAGGTAAGCCCCAGCCCTCTGGGTGACACTGCTCCGGGGGAAGTTCCCAGCCTTTTTTTGTTCTCTGGAGCCTCGAGGCACGGAGCCCCTTGGGGACGGGCAGAGAGGAGACAGCTTGTCTGTAGAGTCTCTCCGGGGCTGGGCTGGGCTGGGTATTTGCTGCAAAAATAGTTGCACCTCTGACCCCCTCCCCACGCCCCGACCCCCTGCCCCAGCCCTGATCCCTCTCCTGCCCTCTGAACCCCTTGGTCCCAGCCTGGAGCACCCTCCTGCACCCCCAGCCGGAACCTGAACCCCTGTCCGCACCCCTGCCCCAGCCCCGAGCCCCCTCCCACACCCTGTACTCCTCATTTCTGGCCCCAACCCCCAGTTTTGTGAGCATTCAGGGCCCACCATACAATTTCCATACCCAGATGTGGCCCTTGGGCCAAAGAGTTTGCCCACCCCTGCGCTAAGCCATCAGGTTGGTGGCCCCCCGGCAGCGCCCCGGATGCTGGGTGCCCCGAGTCTGTGCAAATCCCTTTCTCTGGCCTGTGTTTCCCAGCCTGTGCTGGTTCAGAGAGCCAGACAGACCCTCTAGTAACTGCTGAACCGTCTCTTCCCCAGCCCAGAGCCAGGTACTGGGCCCGAGTAGTCCTGTAGTCTGAACCCCAGGGGTGTCCAAACAACTAAGGGATGAGAACAGGCCAAATGTAGAGACCAACCCTTTATACTGGGTGCTGTATCTCTGGAACCCGTGGGTCAAATGACCCCAAATTTGCCCCACTCGCCCCACCCCAGGGTGCCATGGGGCACAGCAGGTTTCGAGACCATCTGAGTATGTGCAGGGATTTTAGAGTGCTTCGAAACATCCGCTCTTAATGCGAGTGCTTGTCTCAATCTGAACTCTGGGCCACTCCAGAACGAAGGGGTTCTTCATGGACACACACAGACCCTGTGGTTCCCAAAATCCTGGCCTGGCAAAGGGGCGGCTGGCTGCCTGTCTCTGCCGAGCTGGACCCCGTGGGCAGGGGGCGGTAGGACGCTGCTGATTTCCGCCCCTTATTTCGGCCACAGGTGCCCTGCAGCCAGCACTTCTCCAGCATAAAGACCGTGGCCTACGGGCCGGACTGTAACGCCTCGCTGCCTGCCGACTGGAAGCACCACGGGGCGCCAGGGCTGAAGCATCGCGAGCGGGGTAAGGTGGGAGGCGAAGGCTCACCAGCTCTGAGCAGGGCTGGGCTTTAGGAGACGGTGTGGGGAGAGAGAGTGGGGTCTAGGGGTCAGGACAGGGTGGGGCCATGGCTTCTACTCCCAGTGCTGGAAGGTGAGTGGGGTTAGGAGTTGGGAGATGGGGGAGCTCAGGACTCCTGGGTTCTTTTCCCATCTCTAGGAAGGGAGTGATGCCTAGTAGTTAGAGAAGGAGACTGGGAAGTGGGGGGTGGGGCTCAGTACTCCTGGGTTCTAGTCTTGGCTCAGGAAGGGGAGTGGTGCCTAGAAGTTAGGGAAGGAGATGCAGGGGGGGCCCTTCAGGACTCCTGGGTTCTATTGGCTCTGGGAGTGGAGCGAGCTCTCTGGATTAGAGCAGGAGAAGGGGAGCTGGGACTCCTGGGTCCATTTCAGCTCAAACGGCCAGTCTTGGTCGGAGCCCTATAAATTTCATCCCCAAACCAGGGCAAAACTGCCCTCCCCACCCCCAAGCTGGTGGGGAGAAAAGCAGCCAGGGCCCTTGGGGGGGGCTTCCCTGGATGCTGCATGGGGAGACCCTTCCTTGGCTGGGAGCTGCCTTCATCTAGTTTCTAGCCAGTGTCCCCATTTCTCACGACCTCCCCCCGTCTCTGCTGTGGGGGCGGACACAGACCCCAGCCTCGTGAAGGGAGCCCCCCTGTAGATAAAGGAGGGCCGTGCAGGCTGGGGAGCTAGGGGGGGACCCCCGGGGTCTGACGGTGTCCAGCAGCCTCACGGTCTCCCTCCGTGTGCAGGGGGCGGCGCCATGGACCTCAGCTACAGCTACAGCAATGGCCTGGGGAAGTACTACAGCAATGGTGAGCACAGCGGCTCCCTCGGGGGGGTGGCTTCCAGGGGCCCCGGCGCACAGGACAGGGGGTCCTGCGGGCTTCTCGATCGCAGAGTATCAGGGTTGGAAGGGACCTCAGGAGGTCACCTAGTCCAACCCCCTGCTCGAAGCAGGACCAACCCCCAATTTTTACCCCAGATCCCTAAATGGCCCCCTCAAGGATTGAACTCGCAACCCTGGGTTTAGCAGGCCAATGCTCAAACCACTGAGCTCCCCCTCCCCCAGATGCTCTCGGCTCAGGCCGATGGCCTCATTTTCCTGGGGTGGGGTCTGGGAGGAGCGGGAGGGGGAGGAGTCGTGCTTACTGTAGCACTGACCCCCATGTTGCAGTGCGGCACTAGGGGGTGCTGTGGGAGTGGGGCAGGGAGCTCAACAGGGTGCGAGGAAGCTGGGCTGGCTTTGGAGAAGCTCTGTGTATCCCCAGAGCAGCTCCAGCCTGGACAAGCTCCCTCCCCTGCACATGCTGCCCAGGTGGGACGCCCTGGGGGCAAGAGGGGAGCTTGGTGCGTAGGGCCCCGTCCAGCCCTAGGCCTCTTTGCTGAGGCTGCCGACGAGGGGCCCAGTTAGCACTGATTGCGGCCCATGTGCCTGGAGCTAGACAGGCCCAGCAAACTCGTCTCCTCCAAGCTAAACTGGCGTCCCAGCCCCCCGGCTTCTCCCACTTCCTGTATTCACCCACCCTCCCTTTGCCATCCTTCCACCCACCCTCCAGACTACATCAAGGAGGAGGCTCTACGCGCCAGCAACAGCTCGCTGAACAGTGAGAACCCCTATGCCACCATCAAGGACCTACCCGAGCTCATGGCCAAGCCCTCGGAGGGCAGCTACATGGAGATGAAGTCCCCTGTGAAGCGAGAAATGTCCTACGCTGAGATCGGGCTCTTTGAGGAGCCAGCTGCCGGCTCCAGGGCAGAAGGTAGAGTTCGGCACCGTGACGGACTGCGGGACCCCTCCAGTCCCGTTCACTTTGCAGTGATGCCAGAGACTGAATGGCACATGGGAAGGGGGTACTTGTCCACTGCCAGGCTTTTGCATTTCAGAGGCCACCCTCATCGAGATCGGGGCCCCATCGTGCTGGGCGCTGCACAAACCCACAAAGTGAGAGCCAGTCCCTGCCCCAAAGAGCTCACGGTTTAAAATAGATGCAGCATGGGAGAAAGGAAGGGTCCTTATCTCCATTTTACAGATGGGGAGTCAAGGCCCAGACCAGTAAAGTGACTGGCCCAGGGTCACTCAGGGAGTCTGTGGCAGAGTTTGGAATTGATCCCTGATCTCCCAAGTCCTTAACCACAAGCCCGTCCTGAGACACTTTCACAGATGCCTTTGGTAATGCCCTTGTCTTTCCTCTTCTCCTCCTTCTAGAGAGTTGCCCCCCGGGGGCAGAAGGTGTCTCTCCAGCAGCCCCCAGCATCGCCCCCAACCACTACGACTCCCCCAAGAACAGTCACATCCCCAGTCACTACGACATGCCACCGGTCCGGCACTACCCCCCATCCCCGCCACTACGGAGGCAGGACCGGTGAGGAGCCACAGGGCGCTGTCTCTCTCTGTTCGTCCATCCTCCCCATCCTCTCTGACCACCCTTCCCAGGGAAAGTTGGAGGACTAGCTCCGAATCCCACCAGGTGGAGAGCCATGGCAGGACCGTGGATGGCCATTTACCAGCACCCCCCGGATTCACCCACAGCCTCTGTCTTTGCTTGTACAATGCAACAGCTGCTAAGGACTAGGGAAGGGGGGAGTCAGACCCCTTGACCCAGCCGCTTGGGGTTGAATATAGCTCATCGCCTTCCCCCAGGTGAGGATTCAGAGTCTGTGACGTTCACATAGAATCATAGACTTTAAGATCAGAAGGGACCATTTTGATTGTCTAGTCTGACCTCCTGCACAACGCAGGCCACAGAATCTCACCCACCCACATCTGGATCCTGAGCCTCCCCCATGCAGCAGGGATGTGGATCTTGGTGGGGTGGTGTTGGAATGGGGGCACATTGCAAAATCGTGTTGCTCGTGCCTCAGCTGCGGCATCCCACTTGCCCCACCATGTTCACCCCACCCCCCCTCGGTGTTTGTCTTCAGGGTGGGGTCCCCAGTCAAGCCATCGGCAGGCGTGTTCTGCCCCAAGGGCACGGCTTTGCACTAGGGGGAGGACTGATCTGAGGAGAAGCCTGCCTCGGTGGAGCTGATGTGAACGGGACACCACAGTGCTGGGGCGCGGAACGGCAGGTGTTCCAGTGAGCCCCCACAAAGGGACTGATAACCCAGCAGGGCAGCTGCAGACGCTGGACCACTGCGCCCTGCTGACACAGACTAAACACCCCAAGACCAGCCCTGCTGCAGCCCCAGGAGAGACATGGCTGGGAAGTGAGACGCCACCGAATTCGGCTCCCAATCCGGATTCCAGCCTGTGGAGGGGGACTGGATCTGGGCTTTTGGCTCGGTCTCGCTTTGCATCTAGACTCAGCTTCCGAACACCTGCCTCATTTCATCCCGCCACCAGCCCCACTGGAGATGGGCCGTAGAGGATGTTTGCGCTGTTAGGGGAAGTTGGTAGCTCTGAATCCAAGCTTCCCCACCATTCAACCCCCCCCCCCACAACAGTCCCACCACTGTGAAGCTGCTGAGGGTTCAGCACACCCCTTCCCATCACGGCATACCACCCCCACCTTGTGCAATATACCGGCCTAAGGTGTCTCCCCCTAGCAGCCGGCCCCAGCAGCTGTAACAGCCTGCTACTTTACTTACCTGCAGCAATGGGAGCTCCTCCTTGGCTCAGGTGACAGAGGCCAGGGCTGAGCTCCAGGGCTGGAGTCTCTCTGCACATGGTCTTGGTTTATGACACCTCCAGGTAGAGCAGACTAGCCCAGCAGGCTCAACTTGGCCTAAGGGACATAGCTGGGTTTCCTTCCCTTTCTGCTCTGGGGGAGAGCTGGGATCTGTAGCCCAATTGATACAGCTCCAGTGTGCATGTAAATAAAGATGTTTGTGTTTTGTTTTTTAACTATGCAACTGTCTAGTTTTTGGCTCAGCCTCCACCCAACTGCTAACATCACCCCATAGGCTTATAGTCAGGGTACGGCCATGAGATTAAACAGGAGCTGGGGTGAGCAAAGACACTGAACTCCCAAATGTTACCCTTTGGGGAGGAGGGGATGCTCTTGCATGGGCTGCAGGGGGGCGTGAGAGGGATTATTATTTTGGTTCCAGTAACAACTAGAGGCCCTAACCAAAAGTGGAGACCCGTTTTGCTAGGCATTATAGGTAGAGACTGAGAGATAGTCCCTACCTCGAAGAGCTGACACTCCAAATAGACAAAGAAAAGATTATCTCCATTGCACAAATAGGGAAACTGAGGCACTGAGCAGTGAAGTGGCTTACCACGGCTCACATACCCTAGGAATAGAGCTCAGATCACCTGAGTCCACGTACGGTGCCTTAACCACAAGCCCATCCTGTGAACGTAGGGAAACCACCATGATGAGCAGGGGAGGTAGCACATACGTTTTTCTCATTGTGGTGATATCACTGCCTCTAAATCCTGCATTAAGTCCACCACTGATCTTTAAAGTGGTAAAAGGGAGACAGTCTTGCCCAGCAGGTAGAGCACAGAACCAGGACTCCTGGGGTCTACCTGTGCCTTCAGGTCTCTGTGCCTCAGTTTCCCCCATCTGTAAAATGGTGCTAACGGTGATGGTGACTGAGAGACACGAAGGGAATTGTCCCAGATCACCCCGGCAGTTGCAATCCACGCTGAAAGCCTCTCTGGATTTCTTACTCACTGTGGGTGGGGTGGGGTGGGGGGCAGTTAAACCCGATTAGAAAATGGGATGAAATTTACCCTTTTCTCTTGCCGCAGGAGGACAGAACAGCCCTGCCCTGTAGCCTACCTACCACGGATTGTTACACCCGCGGATACTTTCCGCACCCAGGCGGGAGCACTGCACAAAGGGGAAAGCGCTGGAGCCAACCCCGCCAGGCGGGGGCTTGGGAGGAAGGGTGGGCAGGAGAGCAAGGCCATCTGTACAGCCCGGCTGGCCTGCTCAGCGGGGCCGGGCCTGCGGGGACTCCCAGGCTCAAAGGGCCGGGGGCTGCACGGGGGGGACCAGGCAGCAAATGCGAACAATGGGGACAGGGGGTGGGGGTGGTGTGTGTGTGGGGGGGGAATAGGAGCCCATATAAGAAAGAGACCCACAAATCGGGGACTGTCCCTGTAAAATCAGGACATCTGGTCACCCTATGGGGCACCCCCCACCCCCGATTTCCACAGCCCCCCCCCCACCTCTATCGCCACAGTGTGTGGGGGGGGGGGGAAATCCCGTTTCTAGGGGGCTGGGATAACCCGGGGTGGGCACGCAGCGCCGTGACCCCCCCCAACCTCCAGCCGGACGTCACCCACACGCGGGGGTTTCCGTGGTGACCCCAGTTTTAAGGGCGACAGGACACCCCCCCCCCCGTTTCCATGGGAACGGGGCGGGGGGGTCATGGGGACGCCCCTGCTCCACCAGTCACACAGGGGTTTCTATGGTGACCTGGACCCCCCCATTGTCATGGCAACGGTGACCCCCCCCCTTTCATATGATGGAGGTTGGCGGGGGTTCCCGGCCCCCGCAGCAGCGTCCTGTAGCCCCGCCCCCCGCCCGCTCCGGGCCCCGCCCCCGCGTTGCCAGGGGGACCCGCGCGGGGCCCGGCAGGGGGGGCCCAAGCGGAGCCGCCGCCGCCCCGGCTCAGGTGGGGCGAGGCGGACCCCCCCCCCCGCCCCCAGGCAAGGGCCCCCGCCCCCGCTTCCCACCGCAGCTAGGGACCCCCCCCGGCCAGGCCCCCGTACACACCCCGCAGCCAGGGACACCCCCCCCCCCCCCCCAGCCAGGCCCCCGTACACCCCCCAGCCAGCCCCCCACCCCCCCTCAGGCTAGGCCCCTCCCTCCCCCCTACCTGGAGAGTCCCCTGCTAGGCCCCCTGACCCGCCCCCCCCCAAACCGCAGCTGGGACTCCCCCGCCCCCCCCAACGCCTCCCGTAGCCCACCACCTGCAGCAGCAGCTCTCGCCCTGTATCTCTGTGGGCAGGTGCCAATGCCATGCCCCCGCCCTGACGTGCCACGGATCCTCCCTTTGCCCGCCCGCTCCGAGCCCCAGCCCTGCCCAGTGCCGTAGCCCCCTGGCCATGGGGTGGGGTTTCTTGCCCCGGGGAGCAAAGGAATGAAGGAGCAGAAATATAAATTGTGGGGAGACACAAAAGCCCATTGGGGCGAAAGGGCAGCGCTCTTGGCTCTGACCACGTGTTACCAGCTGAGCCCGTCTTGTTTTCCTCCAGTGCCCTGAAGAGCGTAACTATGGGGAAGAAAGGGGACCGGGGGGCCAAGGATAAAGTGGCTGGCGCGAGCCTTGAGGAGGAAGGAAAGAACGCGGCTAAAAGGACTGACCAACATGGTGAAGGTGATGACCCCCGATTGCTCTGTTCCCTGGCAAGGACGCCACCCAGGGGGTTCAATCTAACTGGCTGAGTCGGGCAGTGGGTCCTGCTCATATAATGCCAGGGCCAGGAAATCTGGCCCTTATTCAGGTGTCTACCTGGGAGCTGGGTTCTTTTGGAAAATCTGGCCCTAGCGGACTTTGGCCTTGACCCTGTAACGACCTAGGCGATGCTTAAACTGTAGGCATGTGGGTCCTCCCCTTGAAGCTAACTGAATTCCCCTTGCAATGTTCTTCACTTCTTGTGGTTGTTGCTGTTAAAACACAGCCACTTCAGTGCTCGCTGAAGAGTCTCTGCGACTAGCTTGCGTGGCTGAAGTAAGATGCTTTGAGATGCTGTTAGCACAAAAGCTGCTCTGGAGTGTCTGTGGTGTGGAGGGAGTGACTCCTGCCCTGCTCTTTCCCCAGAGGAATACCAGTGCACCGGCCTCCTGGAGCAGGATTTCAATGAGCTGTGCTGCCGCGCCGGACTCACCAAAATCCCCAAGGTCACAGTTAGGCTGCAATCTGTCTGTAACCTCTTCCTGCCAGGTGAGTGGAGCCTCCGAGGATTCCCGGTGAGGCAAAGGGTGGGAGTATTGTTCACCCCAGCTGTGAATTCATCCCACATGAGCTAGGAGAGAAGAGGCGGCACTTAGGAGGGCAATGGAAGGGGTTCTGTACCAGCAAGGGGCCCCACACCACATTGCCCTGTGGCTCCCTTGACCCTGCACTGAAGTCTTTACAAGACTTGTAACGGTCTCCCCAGCTGGCTTAGTACAGGCAGGCCTGCTCTATGCCAGCCCCCATCATGGCAGTTTAGCCAATAGCCAGAGCACGTTGTGTTCTAGCCACCCTATGGGCATGGCTTAGGGCTAGGACACGCTGTGCTCTGGCTATTCTCTGATAGGTTGCTAAGGGGCAAATGCCTGAGACAGATGAGAGCAGCCACCCTTGTAACCTCCTTCCTGCACTTGGTGCACCAGCCTTCAGGCTAAGCCCCGTGCCCTCCCTGCTTGCAAGCAGCCTTGAACAATGAAGTGTGATGTCCAGAGGAGGGGGTTTCCCCGGGAGCCTTTCCTAGATGGTTCTGCAAGGCGGAAAGACTATTTGCTGAGAACAGGGCTCAAGACTTGCAGGATTCAGTGTTTTCTTAATGGCCCAGCTCCTAGAGTTCTCTGTTTTCTAGAGAAGCTCTGCTTTCACTTAAAGAACAAGGCCTTTCCAGCCCTTGGTGTTGCAGAGAAAAGCTGGGAAACGTAACTTCTAGAAGTTCAGATGCCAGAAGGCAAAGAAATAAGAGGCCCAGCTTATCAGTGGGTCGTGCACTTCATTGTTCGTGCAGGCTGAGCTCTGTGCTCTCCAGCTTGCTAACTACAAGTGGACTCCAGGTTTGAGTTGGGGGGACCTGGCTACAGTTGGGGTGAGTGGCCTGGCTGAGGGAGCTGGCCAAGTTGGAGGCAAAGCACTGGGGAAATCGGAGCTAAAACAGCTTTCACCTAGGGGATGCTGGCCGTTTCTGCTGGTGGAGGATGCATCTGGGATATGAGCTGCAGAGGACTGTCGCAAGGAGATTGTGCGTGTCCGTTTCAATCCCACCCATTTCAGGGGCAGGAAGCTCTAGTTAAATAGTTTGGGAAGGAAATGTAGCCCCAGATGGGTTTAACATGTCTCCCAGCTTCCCCAGCCCTAGTGAAGGCAGAGTGTAGTGAAGAGAGGCTCATGCAGCTAGAAGGGGATGGTCTCTCCATGGTGGGGCAGCGTGGAGTGATTGACACAGGGCAGCGGCCTGCATGAGCCTTCACCTGGCACTGCAGAAGTCTCCCTCGGGCTTGGTGCCCTTGCCTCCGAGTGACAGATTGGCTCCCTGCCTGGCAGAGGAAAGCGACACACTGGCCGAGAAGGAGGTCCCAGCCAACCTCACCCAGATCCAGAGCAAGTACGCCTACTTCCATCCCTGCATCCAGACCGAGCTGGAGCATGACGACCCCAAGAGCACCCGTGAGATCTTCCTGCGAGGTGAGGAGCTCAGCTCACTCCGAATAGCCCCGCTCAGCACTGTAAAACAGGAAGGGGGAGGTGGGGGAGACTGATTCAAACCGGGCGCTGGCCGTATTTCGGGGCACTGCCCCCGTCTCCTCTCTCGTCAAAGGCTTTCTGAAAGTCCAAATAAACTCTATCCACTGGATCCCCCTTGTCCACGTGCTCGTTGACCCCCTCAAAGACTTCTAATAGATTGGTGAGGCATGATTGCCCTTCACAAGAGTCGTTTGTCTCTGTGTTTGTTAATTCTGTTTCCATAGTTGTAACCAATTTGCCTGGTACTGAAGTTAGGCTTGTAATTGCCACGATCGCCTCTGGAGCCTTTTAAAAAAAAAACATAGGCCATACCAGAGCCCAGCCAGCTAGCCGTGCCATGTCGAACTGGCATCCAAGCTGGCCGGGGAGCCAAGGGGCAGTTGAGGGCAGGGGTGAGGGATCGCATTCTGGCTGTTTTCTCTTCTGCGTAACCAGCTCCATCTGCTTTCTCTCTGGCAGGCTGGAAAATCGAAGAGAGAATGCTGGCTGTTTTCAGCAAGTGTCTGCCTGCCCTTGCCAACCTGCAGGCTGTTCAGTGAGTGAGGGGCTGGGCAGGGCCAGGAGCTGTTTGCCTGAAAGGGCCCAGAGACGGGCAAGGAAATACAGCAGGATTTCAGTTCTCTGAACCCTCAGTATCCAAGCCTCCCTCTGACATGTTTTGCTGCCTCCCAGTGCATTGGCTCTTGCCTCTCTGAGATCCTGATCTTGGTGTCCTCCAAGTTGACTGGATAATTGGGATGCTGGAATGAGACTCAATCTGGGGCCCTGCTAGCTCTTTAAAACCAATAGCTGGTTTGGGGGCTCTGGAACGCCAGGACTCGGGTGCTGGGAAACGCCTGCATTCGCTTTGAATAGCAGATCTTGGTGAAGGGGTTTGAGCATAGGCCTCTGAGGCCTGGCTCTGCCGTTGACTCACTTTGTGACCTTGGGCAACTCCTCTGCCCGCCCCGTGCCTCAGTTTCCCCATCTGGGGACGAGAATGCTTTATGATCTCTCCTATTGAGTTAATGCTGCTGCTAAGGCTACCATGTCTCTCTTCTTTCAGCCTCTGGAAGGTCGGCCTGACGGATCTCTCGCTCCTCTCTCTGATCGCTATCCTACCAAACTGCCCCAATCTCAAGTAAGCGAGAGCTAAGCTGCGGGGATGGGGGCGCTCAGACAGTGCTGGAGGCAGCTGCTTCCCTCTTGGCTCCCATCTCAGAAAGGGGACCCCATTTCTTTTTCAATTTGATCGTAACGATCCTTGAAGGAGCCAGTGAGATGGGACCTGAAGGCAGTGCTTTGTGAAGCTCATTGATGATCCCATGGCACTCTGTACCAGAGCAGAACCGCCAACTCCACTGTCCTGCCCAAAGCCCTAGCGGGGTGGCTGCTGCCTACCTCAGATTTCCCCCTGCCTTTTCAGTGGTGTACAGCATTCTTCACTTTCCCTTCCAGGCTGTTATGTAGCGTTTCTTTGTCGCTGTGAAGCAGCTGCTGTGTTCCACTCCAGAGGTGGCTGCATGTCTGCAGGCCAAGTGACTTCTCTAGCACCTTGGTCAGTTTCTGCTTTTCCCTACAGGACACTAACGCTGGAGGGGAACCCGTTAGCAGAGGGGTCCTTCTACAGGCTGATCGGAGAGGAGAGCACGTGAGTTCCTTCCGAATCAAAGACCCAGGAGTCCTGGGGAGTGCATGCTAGTTAACCATACTTGGGGCAGATACAGCATTGGGCGAGGGAAGGGAAATTTCAGACCACTGCGTCTGCTCTGGGTGGGATGGGTGGGACCCTGGGGGATACTCCTGGGAGGGAGGTCCCAGTGGGGAGGAGGGCTGAGGATCACTGGACGGGATGGGGTGCTTTGTCTCAGACTCTCATAAACAAAACCCTCAGCCCATCGGCAAGGTGCCCACACAGAGTCCAGCGCATGGTGTGCGGATTCCTTGCCTCCTACCCTTCCACGCCGCAGGCCGAGCAGGCCTGGGATTGCTCCCGCCTACTTCAAGGCTCTGTCCTGGAGAGTCCCCTCCCCACTCCCAGGGCGTCTCTTTCCCTTCCCAGGGAGCAGGACAGTCCAACCAGACCTGATTGGAAACTCTTACCAACACCCCTGCAGGCTGGCTCACGTGTCACTGAGAAACAACAACATCGGCAATGCCGACGCCAAGCTGATCGGCCAAGCCCTCTCCACGCTGAAGTCCTCCAACAAGAGCTTGGTCTCGCTGATCCTCAGCTTCAATCACATCTCAGACTTGGGAGCAGGCTACATCGCAGAGGTGAGGGGTGAGAGAGAAAGCGACTGGCTGTGTTGGGGCATGAGCATCCGTAGAGCATCTGAAGGGGGAGTCTCTCCTGGGAACTTGTGCCAAGGGAGATCTGGGTACGTAGGGAGGGACAGAGACCTTGTGGTTAAGGCACTTCCCTGGAGGCCTGGCTTCAAATCCTAGCCTTGTCACTAGGTTATTTTTCAAACCAGTTTAAGTCCAGTTGTCTCATGTAGACGGGAACAGGCAGCTGGGGGAGCCTTAATAGCTGAGGCTGTGAAGGGAAGCCGAAGAGATGGAACTTTACAGGCTGGAACTTTGCATGTTCTCCTGCCAATCCAGTCTAGCTGGATCCAGTACTCAAAGTCCACCTGCTGCGTAGCTCTGGTGATCTCTCAGCAGGATGGGTTGGGCCAATGGAGAGACTGAAGTCCCCTGTGACACAGGAACTGGGCCATCGGCAGGAGTTGGTGAAGGGAAGCCAGCCCAGCCGGATGGAGGGTTCAGGGCTGTCACTGCTCACAGCTGACGGTTTTTTTCCTTTCCTTGCATGCCTGCGTCCCACCGCCGCCCCCCGGGGTCTGTCCAGGGCTTGCGGTTGAATCGCTCTCTGCTGTGCCTGTCTCTGGCACACAATCAGATCGGAGACCAGGGAACACTCAAGCTCGCAGAGGTGCGTCCAGGAAAAAGCCTTTGCTCTTCAGTACAGGGGATGGATTTACCCTTTAAAAAATTCTTTGCCCGGCCCAGTGTCCACTGCTCCCTCCCTTTGCAGCTATTAGCCAGGCTGGGCAGGGAGGGTGTCCTTAGCCTCTGTTTGCCAGAAGCTGGGAATGGGCGACAGGGGATAGATCACTTGATGAGTCCCTGTTCTGTTCATTCCCCCTGGGGCACCTGGCATTGGCCACTGTCGGAAGACAGGACACTGGGCTAGATGGACCTTTGGTCTGACCTTAGCTGGCCATTCTTATCAGGAACATCTAGTGGGGGTGGAGGGCTCTATGGAGGAGTCCGAGTTGTGGATCCAGAGCTCTCTCATCCAAGGGGTAGGGGTGGTGGCTCTTTAACTAAAGAGTTTTTCTCCCAGCCATTAAAAGGCCTTTGAGTTGAATGCATGTTAACAAAGAGAGTTTGAATCAGTCTGAATCAAAATCCAACCCTCTCTCAGCTAACCAGGCTTCCCTGGCACAGCGCCTCCCATCTCCTGCATTCCCAGCTCTCCATAGTGGTTGCGAGGGAGAGAAACGAGCTGAATTTCTAATGTGTAAGACATCTTCATCCGTCACAAAAGAGCAGATGCGCAGCTCTTCTCCCCATCTGCAGCTCTCCTCTAACGCAGGCCAGGCCTGACCTGCACCAGGCCCTGACCCGGCAGCGGGACGTTCCAGGGCTAATCCCTGCTGCCCTGCCCCGTTCCCATTTGGTCGTCCTTCCCAGCCCCTTCCCCCCGGTATGAATGACCGAAAAGGGACGTACTAGCACATCCCTTTGAGGGAGCAGGACCTGAGCTCGGAAATTTGGGACCCGATCCCGAGGGACTGAGCATGCTCAGTGGGTACCGAGCACCTCTCTGGCTCAGGCCGTTGTAACGTCTGCGAGCTTGGCTGTGGTCAGAGAAGTGACGGGAATTGAAGTGGTGCCGAGGCCCCGGGCTGCCCCCTCTGTGGGGCGGAAGAGGGGGAGTTAAGCTATTGTGACCAAGAGAGACTGAGCAACACTGACTCCCCCATTGCTTTGGGGCAGGTTCTGGGACCTTTCGCTTTAACTCACACCGAAGTCGTGGAAAGGAGGCGACTTTTACTGGAGAAAGAATCCCAGGAGCGGTCCCGGTCGGTAAGGTTCCTGCCAGGCCATGTGCGCCCACCGGAGGGCGACAGATCAATTCACCTCAGGGGCGGGAGGTGCTAGCGACTTGACCTCTTTCCCACAGCGGCCGGCCAAACATTGCTATAAACTCAGAGCTCCATGAACCAGGTCGCTGAGGTAACAAGATTTACCCTGGAGAATGCTGTATTCCCCTCTACTTTCTGAGCCACCTAGAGGATAACAGCCTACTACTGCTGCCACCTAGTGGCATCACTCCTTTAGCTCACATTGTAGAGGTCTGAGAGTCCCTGGTTCTAAGCCAGCTGACACCCCATGCTAGGAATTGCTACAGTTAGCGCTGCCTAGGGTCCTAAAGGTAGCAAATGTAGAGCAGCCTGTGGTGTCCGAATCTCTATTAAAATCCCTCTGGGTCTGGGTTCCAGCCTCTGAGACATGCTGATGCCAAAAGCAGCGAGCGTCCCTCCAGCCTCGTCAGCAACACCACCATCGACAAGCTGCAGTCAGCCAAACAGAGCAAGAGCGGGTCCAAGAAAAAGGTGAGGGGTGTGGGCTGAACCGAGTAGGACAGTTTCCACGCAGCCCTTCCCAGGGACTCCAGGCGTGTCCACCCTGCCTGGGAGCAAGGGGTTAACCCCACAGCGAGCAGCTCCCAAAGATCCGCTTCTTTGTAAGGATCGGGGGATCGCAGCGGTCAGGACTTGCGCATGGCAATGTTAAGGAAAAGGAGGGGGCTCGTGGAGCCAGGTAGTGACCCTCAGGACTCCTGGGTTCTCATTTCATTTCTGAAGCGGGAGTGTGAGCTCGTGGCTAGAGCAGAGACTTAGGGATCAGGACTCCTGGGTTCTTTTCCCAGCTCTGCCGCTGGGTTCATTTGGTGACCTTGGGCTTTCCTGTGCCTCCATCCTTCAAACAGGGTTCATGCAGGACTGGGGGTGTGCAAGGCTGGTGGTTTACATGCTTGGGCCAGAAGCGAAGTGGGGTCAAGCCTGATGGGGACTTTGCAAACAGAGACAGATATTAAAGAGATGCCGAGCCTACCTGCCAGCGCCCCCTTCAGGCCTGTGCTTCTCCTTACAGGAGCCTTTGAAGAAAGAGGAGAAAGCTCAGGCCAATACTGCAGGTGGCGGTGGGGTCGTGGGCGGCCCAGCCTTTGTGCCCGCAAAGAAGGAGGATGCTAAACAAGCCAAGAAAAGTGAGTCGAAATTCTAACCCCCCCGTCCCTTGTGCAAGGGACCCCCAAAGATGGGCTAAGGAACTAGATGGTGAACTGTGCCAGAGTGGGGGGTGGCCGGAGGCAATGACCCTCTCTGAGCCGGGCGCCTGGCCAGTTGGTTCCAAGGCAGGGCCCATGGGAGGGCCCCCCATGGCTCAGCTTGCAGCTCTCTGCGTGGCAGAGGCTCGGTCAGGTTTGTGAGTGTTTCACCCAGCTCTAGGTGTGTCCCTCCCTCTAGTGGTTTCCACCCCGGAGCAAAAAGTTGTTCGAGGCAAAGGAACCAAATCGGGCGCCAAGGAGAAGCGCAGTCTGCTGCCGGAGTTGGAGGTGAGGGAGCCCTGGCCAACCACGGGGTACAATGCTTGGCATCTCCTCCAGGGACTGCTATACACAGTGCTCCCTGCTGCCCGTAGGCCAGGCTCAAGGCACTGGGTTAGTGGGGCAGAAGCCTGGCTCTGGGCTAAGATCCGGAGTTGAGTTCCTGGTCACCTCCAGGGCTAGTGTCTCAGTTACAGCCCGAGCTGCGTTATGGGCCTTGCTGGCCTGGGAACTTGGGCTGGGTCACTGCCCCTTCAGCTGGAGCTGCTGTGATGGCTCTTGGTTCAGTTCCGGCACAGGTTGTTCCATTCTGCCCCTGCCAGGGGGGATACAGTGGGCTTCACTCCCACTCCTACCCGGCTGGGCATGGTGCAAACAACTGCCCCGTTCCGCCCCCGAGGTGGCTGACTTGCGTTGGGATAAAAAGATGTGGAACCATTGGCTCAGCATGAAAGCTGGGGATTTTCAAAGGGGCTTGGAGGAGTAAGGAGCCTGCTGCCCAGGGAAAATCAAGGAGATCTGTACTCCCAACTCCCTTAGGCACCTAAGAGGATTCCAGCCAAAACGTCCTATCTCCTGCCCCACATCAGACCCAGCAATGGGCTGATCCCTGCCCCCCATCATCTCCTGGGCAGTGCCAATGCAGGGGGGGGCCCTGCCGAGCTGCTCCCAGGGGCAGCTCTGGGACCTGCCTGAAGGTGAAACGTTCTCTGTGCCCAGGTGGTGGAGCCCACCGAGATCGTGAACCCACTGCTGGAACAGGCCGAGCACCGCGACGGGAAGGTCTTCCTGCCAGGCAACCGTGTGCTCATCAACTTAAACCTCACCTGTACGTTGGCCCAGGGCTGGCTGGAAACGCACCACCTCGCCTGGCAGGGCAAGCGTCCCCCATGTTGTCCTTGGCCAACAAGCCAGGCTGGGAGCTGTGGCAGTGGGTGGGAGATGCAGCAGCCTCTGCCAGACTTGCGTGTGCCCTTCCTTCTGAGTGGGGCCTGCAGCCCCTGGTGCTGAGCCAGGCCCTATCCACAGAGCTCCTTCAGTACCACCCGCCCTTCTCCACTTCTGTCCATGCGGCCCAGCCTGGTCACTCACCTCGGTGCCGTGTAGCTCCTGGGCTCCCTCTGGTGGCCTGATCCCCAGCAGAGGCAGGAGACGCTCATGCTTCTAGAGCCAGGTGCCGATCCTCTGCCCCACAGCAGCTGGGTCAGTGTCTTCAATGGGCGCAGGCCCTGGCTGAGGTCCCAGGGAGTGGCCCAGGCAAACCCCACCCTAGGCCCCAGAGGAGATGGGGTTTAAACTAGCCACTGATCCGCATCTTCCCTCCCCAAGGGAACCAGATCACAGAGCAGGGCCTGAAAGCGTTCCTGGCAGCCATGGAGAGCCAGCAGCAGGCCAGCAAGTCCACGGCTGGGGTCAAGTCGCAGACGGGCCTGCTGCGGCTGTCTCTGGGGGTGAGTACCACGCTCCTGCATGGCGGTGGGAGGGAGCTGGATCCAGCCCCAGGGCCCTTGTTCATTCATGACTGTGCCCCCGTGTGGGCCGGGGCTTACAGCTGCAGGTAGAGCATTCCCCACGAGCGGGGGGGCTGGAATGGGAGCAGAAGCGAGTCCCCCCCTTTACTCACCCACCCCCCTTTCCGCCCTTTCAGAAAAACCGCTTCCCTCCTGACAGCAAGACCTTTGCCAAGCTCCAGGAGCTGATGCTGCCGCGCGACCCCACCTACAGCCAGCTGTCCAAGGCGCCGGATGAGGAGCTGGCTGTGCCCAGCTAGGGGTGGAGGGGCAAAAGCCTCCACTTGCTCGAGAGCAGAAGAGTCCCATGGACCTGGAGAGCGCTGGGGCAGCCTTGTGTGGGATTTCTGATCCCCTCCGCCTCTGACCCAGCCCAGCCTGTAACCGTTCCCGCCTCCCATTAAATAGTTTTGACACAGCCTGCTCTGGGGTGGAGCATTAACTTCAAGGGGTGGGGGGCTGGGGCCCTCTACACCCACTGGAATTCAGGCTCTTTTTCCACAGCCAGGGCCCCTTCCTCACGCAGGAGGGCTCCATCCACGCAGGGGCTGTGGCAACAGGGAGGAAGCTCTGAGGGAAGGCCTACCTGGGTCTCCAGGGTCAGAGGCAGTGACCCCATAACTGAATGGTCCCAAGAGCGCTGTGCTGGCTGGAGCGGTGAGCCCCCATCCTCCCCCAGGACACTTGCTAACCTCTCCTCTCCCGCTTTCCCAGCCCGAGGCCCTGCAGGGCATGTTGCAGCGCCCACACCAGGGGAACCGGTGCTGGGAGCAGAAGGGAGCACGGGCGGGCTCCCAGGGCCTGTCCTCACTTGCACGGCTACTGCTCAGTGTAGACACGGCCCAGCAAATCCACCTCCCCGAGAGGTGCTGGCTGCACGGGCCTGAGTGCAGCCGCCCCAAGTCACTCTGGGCTGTGGATTTTTCACCCCGAAGTGATGGAGCTGGGCCAATCAAGTCATGTCAACTAGCCCTGAGACATCCCCGCCGGGGGACTGGGAGAGCTGGGGGTTAAGGACACGTCAGCCATTTTGCTCATTTAACGCGGGGGCCTGATTCCGCTCCCAGCAGCAGCATTGGGCAGGGCGGGGCCCACAACCCACCGCGCCCCGTTCTCTGCTCCAGCCATGACACTCGTACCCTGGCAGCATCGCCGTGTGGCATCGCCGTGGAGAACAGCTGCCAGGGCTACAGGCAGAACCTGGCTGGCAGAACTAACAGGCCAGCGAAGAGGGGGGCTGGGAAGAGATGGCCCAGTCTCCCATGCTGCAGTGGGTGAAAGCAGGCACTGCTGTGCAGCGAGACCCCCCCGGGGAAGGATCACACGCATGCCAGCGAGAGAAGAATATTTCACTTTTCTTTAAAAAAAAATCTTTACCAGTAAAGGGAAGAAAATAAAACGGATTATACATCATGGAACAGCCAACAGTCAGTCCTCTAGCTTGAGGGGGGCAGGCCTGGGGCCTGGCCTCTGACAATGCAGCAGCAGCCTGCAAGTAGACAAAAGCCGATTGCGAAGTGGGTGGGGTCTTACCCTGGGCCCTCCCAGCTCCTCTCTCCAGCCACAGCAGCTGGTCAGTGCTGCGCTGTGCTCACCATTAGGGGCGATCGTATCCAGCGGGCTGGGCTCATCCAGCCCCCAGGAGCACAGCAGAGCCGACCCCTCCAGCCGGCTGACTGTCTCCAAGCAGCGCAGGGATTTTGCCACGGCAGGCATGGCTGTGGGGTGTCCCGTTTTCCCAGCCCGCTGCCCGCCCTGGGATCCAGCCATTCCAGTGGAGCGATGTGCGTTTTCCAGACAGCCCCGACAGAAAAGCCGGCCTGAAGCAGGAGGGAGGAATCTGCCGGAGGGAGAAAGGCCAGCTAATGCCAGCAATGCCAGCAGCACGCACTGTGGCTTCCCGGGGCCGGGGGAGACACAGCGAGAGGCCCAGAGGGGACACCTAGTGGTAAGAGGACTGGGCCGCTGGGAATCCCATTTCCCCAGGCTGGGCAGGGCAGGGCAGCGGGATAGTGGTAATGGCCGTTGCATTGCAGGGTCACGGGATACAGTCCAGTTATTTACAAGAACCCAATGCACATACATACATATTTATATCTGATCAGCAGAGAGGGCGGGCCGGGACCCACTGCGTGGGCTCCTCAGCACGGAGAGAAACAAAAAGTGCATTTCGACAGACTATATTCCAGCTCTCGTGTACAGGGACGATGCTTGCCCGTGGGGGGCACAGAGATGGAGACAGCGGTGGGGGCCCGGCCTGCCAGCGGCAGGCAGCATGCAGGGTGACGGGCACTTGCTCTCCAGGCAAAGGGCCGCCCAGCCCCATGGCTGGGACGAGACACCGAGATCAGCCAAAACTAACATGCGCTTCCCCACGGGATTCCAGTTCTGCTCCGAGCTTCCAGTCGCAGCCCCCATGGGCCTGTTTCAACATTCAGGCTGCCCTGCCTCCCAGGGGGCTTTCCCCAGTTTGGGTGGGTCCAGGGGGTGCCCTGCCGCTCCAGCTTCCCAGCCATCTTTGGGGAGTTCTCCTTCCTTGCAGGGCATTCGTGCAGAGGGGTTCCTCTGAGGGGGCTCGGCAGCCTGAAAGAGATGCAGAGAAGCAGCATTGAGAGGGATGGTCAGCAAAGCTCCAGGCTGCCAACCCGCCCCCTGGTGCCTGCTGGGTCGGCAATAGTTTTCCTGGGCTACAGCTGGGGAAACTGAGGTACAGGGGGATGGGAAGGGATTTGGCAAGTAGGAAGGCATGGGACCAGGTCATCATAAGAACGGCCATACGGGGTCAAACCAAAGGTCCATCTAGCCCAGTATCCTGTCTTCTGATAGTGGCCAATGCAGGTGCCCCGGAGGGAATGAACAGAACAGGGAATCATAGAATATCAGGGTTGGAAGGGACCTCAGGAGGTCATCTAGTTCAATCCCCTGCTCGAAACAGGGCCAATCCCCAATTTCTGCCCCAGATCCCTAAATGGCCCCCTCAAGGATCGAACTCACAACCCAGGCCAATGCTCAAACCACTGAGCTCTCCGTCCCCCCAATCATCAAGTGATCCATTCTGTCGCCCATTCCCAGCATCTGGCAAACAGAGGCTAGGGACACCATCCCTGCCCATCCTAGCTAATAGCCCTTGATGGAGCTAGCCTCCATGAACTTATCTAGTTCTTTTTTGAACCCTGTTATAGTCTTGGCCTTCACAACATCCTCTGGCAAAGAGTTCCACAGGTTGACTGTGCGTTGCATGAAGAAATACTTCCTTTTGTTTGTTTTAAACCTGCTGCCCATTCATTTCATTGGGTGCCCCTAGCTCTTGTGTTAGGAGAAGGAGTGAATAACTCTTCCTGATTTACTTTCTCCACACCAGTCATGATTTTATAGACCTCTGTCATGTCCCCCCTTAGCTGTCTCTTCCAAGCTGAAAAGTCCCAGTCTTATTAATCTCTCCTCATACAGAAGCCGTTCCATACCCCTAATCATTTTTGTTGCCCTTTTCTGAACCTTTTCCAATTCCAATATATCTTTTTTGAGGTGGGGCATCCACATCTACCCAGAGTATTCAAGGTGTGGGCGTACCATGGATTAATATAGAGGCAATATGATATTTTCTGTCTTATTATCAATCCCTTTCTTAATGATTCTCAGAATTCTGTTGGCTTTTTTGACGGCCGCTGCACAATGGATGTTTTCAGAGAACTACCCACAACGACTCTTTCTTGAGTGGTAACAGCTAATTTAGACCCCATCATTTTGTAGTTGGGATGATGTTTTCCAATGTGCATTACTTTGCACTTATCAACACTGAATTTCATCTGCCATTTTGTTGCCACTTCTGAGAGATCCTTTTATAGTTTGTAGTTTTGAGAGATCCCTTTGTAGCTCTTCGCAGTCTGCCTGGGTCTTAACTATCTTGAGTAGTTTTGTATCATCTGCAAATTTTGCCACCTCACTATTTACCCCTTTTTCCAGACCATTTATGAATATGTGGAACAGGACTGGGCCCAGTACAGACCCCTGGGGGACTCCATTATTTACCTCTCTCCATTCTGAAAACTGACCATTTATTCCTGCCCTTTGTTTCCTATCTTTTAACCAGTTAATAATCAATGAGAGGATCTTCCCTCTTCTCCCATGACTGCTTACTTTGCTTAAGAGCCTTTGGTGAGGGACCTTGTCAAAGGCTTTCTGAAAATCTAAGTGCACTCTATCCACTGGATCTCCCTTGTCCCCATGCTTGTTGATCCCCTCAAACAATTATAGTAGATTAGGAGGCATGATTTCCCTTTACAAAAACCATGATGACTCTTCCCCAACAAATTATGATCATCTCTGTGTCTGACAATTCTGTTCTTTACTATAGTTTCAACCAGTTTGCCCGGTACTGAAGTCAGGCTAACTGTTCCTCAAATTCTTTTTTGGCCTTCCTAATTGTATTTTTACACTTTACTTGCCAGAGTCTATGCTCCTTTCTATTTTCCTCATTATGATTTAACTTCCACTTTTTAAAGGATGCCTTTTTGTCTCTAACGTCTTCTTTTACTTTGTTGTTTAGCCACGGTGGCACTTTTTTGGTTCTCTTACTATGTTTTTTAATTTGGGGTATGCATTTAAGTTGAGCGTCTATTATGGTGTCTTTAAAAAGTTTCCATCCAGCTTGCAGGGATTTCACTTTTGACACTGTACCTTTAATTTCTGTTTAATTAACTTCCTCGTTTTTGTGTTGTCCCCCTTTCTGAAATTAAATGCTACAGTGTTGGGCTGCTGTGGTGTTTTCCCCGCCACAGGGATGTAAAATTTAATTATATTACAGTCACAATTACCAAGGGGTCCAGCTAGATTCATCTCTTGGACCAGATCCTGTGCTCCACTTAGGATTAAATCAAGAATTGCCTCTCCCCTTGTGCGTTCCAGGACCGGCTCCTCCAAGAAGCAGTCATTTAAGGTGTCAAGAAACTTTATTTCTGCATCCCGTCCTGAGGTCACATGTACCCAGGCAGTATGCGGATAGTTGAAATCCCCCTTTATTGTTGAGTTTTTTATTTTAATAGCCTCTCTAATCTCCCTGTTAATTTCTCAGGCACTATCACCATCCTGGTCAGGTGGTCGGTAAGAGATCCCTACTGCCAGAGCACGGAATTACTGTCCACAGAGATTCTGCGGTACAGTTTGGTTCAGTGAAGATTTTTACATCATTTGATTCTCCGCTTTCTTTCACATCTAGTGCCACTCCCCCACCAGTTCTGTCCTTCTCATGTTTTGTACCCTGGTATTACTGTGTCCCATCAATTATCCTCATTCCACCAGGTTTCTGTGATGCCCGTTATATCAATATCCCCATTTAATAGGAGGCACTCTCGTTCATCCATCTTATTATTTAGACCTCTAGCATTTGCTGGGTCCTGGCCCTGCAGCTGGCTCCAAGGAAAGCGAGTGGCCCAGAACCGAGCAAGGGGAAGCATGACTATGGGAACCAGGTGCAGTGGGGGCGGCTCCAAGTCCGGGCAAGGGTTTCAGGGCACGTTCAACAGGGCTTGCGAGGTCCCTTCCACTTACCGGACTCGCTGGCTGCCGGTGCCCGCAGCCTCGCCGGGCAGGGGAGGGGCAGCAATCGCTGGCAGGGCTGGGCGGGCATTCCAGCCACCGGCCCATCTCCAGCGTGGTGACCCCGACTGGGGTGGTCTCGGCCGACGAACCTCTTCCCAGAGACCGCAGCAACTCGCGATGGGCCATCTCCACGTCCTGAAGGAACCAAGCGGGGGAGAAACAAGCTGGTGGGAATGGGGGGGGGGCCCCCGCCTGACTTGGTGTCAGACCTCTGCACATCCCAGGCGCGCATCAGCCGTCTCACCTGGCCCCCCACCTGCTAGGACGACACCTGCAGGCTCCTCGCTTGGCCAAGGCCCCTCGCACTGCCTGGCCCAGGCAGCGGCTCCAAGTCTCACCCACAGGCAGAGCCCTAGGTGCTCCCGGAGCTGCGTAACGGCCTTGGTGCCCTCGCCAGTCTGGGCTCCAGTGGGGTGTTCCCCTGCCTGGGTCTCGCTCCCTACCCTGTGGCACCGGCTGCAGCTTTTCTTCCCTGTTCCCGTCACCCGCCAGAGCCTGTGCCGGCCCTCAGTGGAAAAGACCCTTAGTCGTGTCCCGTCCCCGTCTCCCCGCCCCCCCGACAGCTCCCCACCTCCCCCTCACCTTTAGCCTGGTGAGTTTCAGCGTGAGCTGTTCTATCGTCCGGAAGATCATGTCCACATCCTGGATCACC